TCCTTGCAATGACTCCTTGCAATGACTCCTTGCAATGACTCCTTGCAATGACTCCTTGCAATGACTCCTTGCAATGACTCCTTGCAATGACTCCTTGCAATGACTCCTTGCAATGACTACTTGCAATGACTCCTAGCAATGACTCCTTGCAATGACTCCTTGCAATGACTCCTTGCAATGACTCCTTGCAATAACTCCTTGCAATGACTCCTTGCAATGACTCCTTGCAATGACTCCTTGCAATGACTCCTTGCAATGACTCCTTGCAATGACTCCTTGCAATGACTCCTTGCAATGACTCCTTGCAATGACTCCTTGCAATGACTCCTTGCAATGACTCCTTGCAATGACTCCTTGCAATGACTCCTTGCAATGACTTTTATGATGATGATTCCTTGCAATGACACCTTGTAATGACTCTCATGAGAACAACTCAAGTGAACCCAGCGGTTCGCCATGCTTTCGGGAAAACCTGAGCCCCAAAATCCCACCAGCCCAGTCCCCAAGCCCTCGCCCGAAAACACATCCGAGGCACACCAAGGCCGCACCCCAGGCCCAACGAGGTGCCTGACACACGCGCCCTCGGGTGAACCCGGCCATATCTGGGCGGCTCGTTTTGGTTTTTGAGGTTAGACCTACCAGAATGGCGGCTGGCCTCACGCCAACTGACCGGGGCTTAGTAACCCTGCTTCAAACGCACCGGACCCACAATGGCTGGTTTCCTTGTTGTCTTCCACAAGAGGGCGCCCAAATATAGGCGTGCAGCATCCCGGCTCATAGGGGTCCCCGCCTGTCCGTTTTCAGCTGGCACCATGGCGTCGCTCGGCATCGCTACACCAACCGTCTGGAAGCCACTTGCTGATCTTTCCTCTTGGCGGAGTGGAAAAATCAAAGATCTGAAATGGCTCAAAAAAATGAACTAGGCTTAGGTTGTTGAGTTTTGGCTTCTTGGTTTTCATTGAGCTGTGCTCTTTTCAGACCTTGGAACCTTGGAATAGCTGCGGTGTGCCAAAACACGTGAAGTTAAACATCCGGGCAGGGGAAGGTAAAAGGAACATCTGAAATGGCCATGGGGCCCCTTTTTGTTTATAAGACATCCAGAGGGATGCGCTTGCGCCAATTGATGTCCTATTCAATCAAAGGACTGCCATGATGCCTCAAAAGCCAAGCCTTTCCGTGGTTTAAAACGACGGTGTTCCAAAGAGTGGTGCAAAGTTAGGCTAGAAAGCAAACCAACGTTGTTCCTAATCAACTGTTTGCATAGAATTGATGCAGTTATCTAGGGTGATTCCCCATTCTTTTCAACCATCGTTCTCTTCAAAAACCAGCCTTTTTCGCTGGGATTCCGGAGTTCTAGAAAGAAGGATCCCTGGAAAGAATGGGGGAGGTACCCCTAGAAGTGGTACCCTTGGCCCGCTGTGCTCCTGTTGTCCTTGGCCCACTTAGCAACCAGGGACCGACTTGGAGTTGCATGCTTTTGCCTTTGACGATGCCTCGGGCTTCGTAAATACCATTGGATAAACCTTACCTCGCGAAACCGCCAGCGCGTGCTTGTCCTTTTTAAGGGACCCCGAAAAATTTGGTCGGCTTCCGTCTTCCCCAAATCGGGTTCCCTGAGCTCCGAAGCCCCAGCCTCTGGCGCTGGGCGGCCTTCCGCATGGGAAAGGAATTCGCCGAAAGGAGTACCGAAGCCATCTCTGTGAAGGGTTTTGTTGGTGCTTTTTTTTTCAGCAGGTATCCACTGGTGGCTCTGTTTTCTATGTGTCCTTCTTTTTTCTTAGGGCCCCCGAACAAAAGGCCGCCTAATGAAGCAAGAGCCCTGTAGACCGAAGGTCCGTCCAAGCACGATGCACATGGGCCAAGCAGTGCTTCCTTTCTGCGGTTTTGGGCGAACACGAAGTAGCCCAGGGAAGCAAATGAGCACAAAGAAGATCACGATGTACCCAAAGCACCCGGAAACACAACTCGGGTGAAGCTGTGGATGATGACCGGGTTGAGGATGTGACGGTTAGCAAAGAGAAGTTTTGGGAAGTTGGGAATCAAGTTGAAGAAGTATAAGTACTCAACCAAGCCCAGCAAACCCTGCCGCACCACCGGATACCTCCCACAACCAGCTGCCCCCAGCACCGAGACCTTTTCCCGATGATGTGGGCGGCTGCCGTTGTATGGCGTCCGCACGTGGTGCCAGAGTTAAACTGACGGGGGGTTGAAAACTTGAGCCAAACGGCCATTCGGCCGTTTTGCCATATGAAGAAACAACACGTGAACAAAACACACCCCCCTCATCCGATATCTGGACGAGAGAAAGGATGCGAGACAGTTGAGTTCACGACGAAAGGGACCAACCAAAAATGCCGGTGTCAACTCAGAGGTGAGCCAAACGGCAGCACCCGGGCCCCAGTTAAAATCCCGCCACCCCGAATTAGCGGGGCGACAGGATTATTTGACGATTGGGCCACATGAGTGAACAAGGACATATTGGAGGAACCAGACGAAGATTCCTCTCGTGCCGTTCATGCATTGTCATGGGACAACAACATGCGGAGGGGGACCCTATCTGGATCACCGCGCCTCACTGCACGCCGTGATGTGGTTGGAGGAGTAATCGAGTTGGGAGGAAAAAGGAAAAGGACGTTCCGAAATTGGTGTGAAAAATATCCGGCTACGGCCGGCCCGGCACTTCTAGTGCGGTCACAGCCTCACACAGGATCGCCAGGGGAACCGTCTCCAGCGCGCACGGCAGCGGTGCGGGAGGGACACGAACAACGCCGGATCAGCGGTACAGGGCAATGGAGACCATCACCCCCAGCAGTGCCGCATGGGCGAGAGGAGGATCGGCGCGGTCGCGTTTTTCGGCGACACACGTGCCATCCTCGCCCTTCTAAGGCGGATGCTGATTGCGGTACCTGCCTACCACCCTGAACCGGGTTCTTCCCGGTCTCTGGGCGCGTCGTCTCTCCGGCGTCCACCGCGGTCACCTCGATCGCCTCCTCCATCCCGACGGCGATCCTCACCACCACCCCTACTGTGGTCGCCAGCCGGAGGTCGGCGAGGCGGAGGGGGATCTGATTGGTGACGTCGGTCATCCCTGCGCCGGTCCCGGTGGCGATCGCGACGGTCATCAGCCGGGTCATCACGTCCGCGGCGCTCATCTCGCCCCGGACCGCGCCTCTCGGAGGGCTCCTCATGACGTGGAGGAGGTCGGCGATCATCGCGTCGGCCTCCGCGGGTATCCCTGCCACGATCATCCCTTTGTCGGGGCGGGCCAGGATCCTCGCGTCCACCTTTGCCAGGTCGATGTTTTCCTCGACCCTTCCCCTCACCCTTAGGGCCGCGACGATCCTCGCGGGCCCCAAGCGCGGTCCTTGATCGATCGTCATCTCGGTGGGGCCGTGACTCATTGGCCGCACGAGTGGTCCGAGGCACGCCTGGGGGAAGCTCCCATTCTTCATCGTCGTCATCGCGCGGGTCATAGCCGCCACGGCCGCCCAAGGAACCAGTGGCATCCCGTGGTGGGGACGCGGGAGTTCCGGGACCGCCCGATCGAAGACGAACCCGGGGAGTCGCGTCCTCGCCAGTAAAGGGATCCTTCTGGGTGTAGAAGCCCTTGGTTCTGCCCCTTCTCTCCCCCCCTTCCGCACCGCTTCTCGCGGGGACCGGGGATGGACGGGCAGGCTGGGCCATGCTCTTAGAGCTGGGTTGCCCGCCAGGCGGGACATGAACGCCCCCCTGCCCTTTCTCGGGCGCAGGGACCCGACCACGAGATGTCCTCCTGGCCTTGGGTTGATCGGTGTCACCCTCCAGCTCGGATTCGGTGTCAGGGACACGAGTATTGACGGCCATGTCCTCTTCCTCGAACGGATCCCCAGCCGTCGTAACGCCTGCAACAATGGGAGCGGGGGGAGGAGGAGGAGGAGTTGGCACAGCTTCGCCAGAACCGACGCCTGTGTGTAACACCACGGGAGTCTCCGGTTCTACCGGGACTGGCGGCGCAGGAGGAGCCGGGGGCGGTGGCGGAGGGGGAGGGATTTCCTCCTCGTCGTCGCCCATGGGCTCGTCAAGGTCGTCAGGCTTGTCTTCATCTTTGTGTGAAGATCCATCCGAGCCTAGCTCATCCTCCGCCGATCCAGCAAAGTCGGGCTCGTCTTCGTCTTTCACGCCGGGGCCTGGTGTAAGGCGAATTCCGGGCCGATGGCGATCGCGGGGTCGGAAGCGGTATTTCCTTGGTACAGGATCGGCCAGCTCCTGTTTGATGTCGTCCTGGGTCTGCGGACGGTCGGCCAGGCATGTGTCGTAGGCAACGGTGGACGTCCGGTAGATCAGATCATCCATACTGCTGAGGTCATTGAGCGTGTAGACGTATCCCTTCTTAATGCCTTCCCGTATCGTGTCCATAGCTTGTTTGAGACGCGCGGCGGGATCGAATCCGGCCTTCCTCCGCATGGCTTGCATTATCCCACAGTGTTGTGCGAGCAGCCCCACCTGGGCCTTGAACCCCTCCCCGGTCACATCGTTGGGGAGTATCGGAGAAAGGTGCCCTGATCTCAGCCCAATGATATGGGCCTCAACAATGTAGTAGGACGTGTAAAAGCCGCAGCGGTTGGCGTTGAAGTTTGCGGTGGTTAGGCGTCTGCCCCACTCAGCCGCATATCCCTCATATTCTTCGAAGAAGTCGGGGACGGAGCTCCCGTTGAAGGCAAGACCCCTTACCAAGATTGCCTTTGCGACCCATTCTTCCACGTTGTGGTCGACAGTGTCACGGTACTTGCCGTCAAGAACTTCGTCTCGGAGCGAGTCGTGAAGTTTCCGGAAAATGCCATCCACGTCCTCTTTGTCGAGGTACTTAGGAGGCCGCATCCCAGACATCAGCAAGGACCGGGCATCAACGGCGGGACTCTGTGAGTAGAGGGCCATTCCGATGGCGTTGGCGTCTGCGTTGTTCCACAGAGCGGGGACGACGCCCTCGTATTTTGCCAGCCAGGGAGGAATCACCCCGTCGGTGCTCGCTATCGTGCGAGGGCCGCCGTTCGTGTCTCCGGTGGGCAGGACGCCCTCATAGAAGATGGGAAGGTAGCAGGCGGTGCACAGGTGAGCGCCGATCGGGTGGGCCGTCATGCACCTATGGCATGGAACGGACACCACCTCGCGGACATGCTCCGCCTTGGTGATCTGGTGATACTTCTCCATCTCGTCCCGACACTTCCTCGGTTCTCACTCACGGAGTTGAGGAAGTTGGGCGGATAGCACCAAGGCCTCAGGTAAATGATGGAGCAGTCCTCCTTGAAGTAGACGCATCTCCAGTACCCGATCGCGATGTTCTCGCGCGATGCAAAGGTACCCTGACGAGTAATATGCATGCCCCCATTTTCCATGGAGAAGAAACGTGCATCGATAGCCATGACCACATATCGGGGATCGCTCCTTTGGCGTCGACCCGAGGTGTGCAGCTCCGTCACATTGCTGTCGGTGATGCGGTCGACAGTGTCGTTGGGGCATTCTCCGTGATCGCGGAGGGATTGATATTCATCCGGCCGAGAGGGAAGGAGCTCGATCAGAGCTCGCCCACCCCGAATGATCGCCCCACGTTCTACGTAGAGCCGATACATCCGGAGAGGCACCACCTTGTAGAGTGTCTTGGGAACCACCTTAGATGTGATAGGAAGACAAACAGGGCTCTCGTAGAGCATGTATTGGTATCGTTCACGAAATGCTCGGTAATCAGTGTCGGATCCGATCTCAAGCGACCTTACCGCCGCTATGCGGGCGGAACCAGGCAGCAATCGACGCTCCTTGTCACGAATGACGGTGATGATG